CAGTTGCTGAGACAAAAGGGGGGCAGGGAATTAATCAAACGCCTCTAAATACGATTTCCGTCCCCGAGCTCAGCCTTATGCAGGGCTGCGCCGGCTGGAACGTTTAGGCGGGGTTCGGCGGGGCTTGGGAGAGGAGGTTGAGACCTCCGAGACCGCAGCGGTCGTCCCGGAAAGCCAACGGCCGCCTTTGTCGGCCGGTTCTGCGAAGCTCCCGTTGTCCTTCACTGCCTCTCGTGGAGGTCTCAACGCCACCATTTTGAAGGGACCCCCCAAAAAACCACGAGGGATGTGAAAATAAAACCCCTCTTTCGATCCACTTTTGGCCTTAATGGGGACGACGTAGACCAAACCTGAACCTTCCCACCCCTCGAATTGACTCGGAGAGCCCAGAGCTCCGCGACCCGGCGCTGGCGCGGGGAGAGGAAAAAGCAAACGCTGGATTTACCGTTCGCCTTCTCCTTCGCCATGTTCCCGGGAGGGCGTTCGCTCCTCCGGCGAGCTGCCACGGGCGGTTCCCGAGCTGCAAGGAGACGGGGAGGGCATTCAGCGCCGAAAAGAAGTGGCGATGCCGTGGCGGAGCGGAAAATAAATCGATACAAGATTGAACAGAACAGCGCAGTACTTACGGGGCAGGCGCCGGGGCGTGCGTTTTGCTGCCGCTCCTGTCCTTCATGGGGACGCGTGAAGGCAAGACGTGTCGCGAGGCGGCGTGACGCAGTCACTCCCGACAGAAAAAGGGGGTTTTAATGCCCTTGGCGCGTGAAAAGTGTTACGAAAATCCAGCGAGGCGACATCTCCTCGGGCGCCGGACCCCCGCGGAGCATCCTTGTATTTCGGCACTGAAATTTCGGCATTGGCTGGATGCGGTTGGATGTGGTTGGACATGGTTGGGCATTGGTTGGGCATTGGCTGGACACCCCATTGCCCAGATCCTCCCCGTTTCACCCCATTTTTCCACCCCCTTGCCTTTTGCTTCTCCCCCTGGCAATGCCTCGTCAATGCTGTCATTAATTCAGCGTTTCAGCTGGGGGGCTTTTTCCCCCCCTCTCCTCCATTTCCATTTTTTTCCATTTCCATTTCCATTTTTTCCATTTCCCTTTCCATTTCCATTTTTTTCCATTTCCATTTCCATTTCTTTCCATTTCCATTTCCATTTTTTCCCCCCTCTCCTCCATTTCCATTTCCATTTCCATTTTTTTCCATTTTTGGTTGGACGCAGTTGGGCATTGGCTGGACCTCTATTTAATGCTCTCGCGTCAAGACCCGGCGCATCATCGAGCGATGATTGGAGCTTATTGTGAAGAGAAAAGTGCGTTTTGAGCCCGGGAAGGAGGGATGAAAACCTTAACCCTCAGCCTCCGACAGGCAGAGGCGAAGAGCACTCGCTAATTAAGTAATCGTTGCTTGCAAATTAAATAACCGCGGTCATGATCAAGCTGTCCCTTGACAGGCTTCATGTATGTGAAAGAAGAGCGCCAACACCCACCATGGTCTTCAACCCCTGCCCAAGCACATCCTCGCTCCCCGGCCACCCAAGCAGAGGCACCAGCTCCACGAGAGACACAGCAGATGAAATGACGACTCGTTAAGCCCCCCCATAGCAAGATCCATGTGGAAGACCACCTCCTCTTTGCAAGCTCTGACACCCAACGAGGCCCGGCAACGCAGCTCCGCCATACGAGGAGGAGGATTAAACCTTCTTGTGGACACGTGGCCCGGAGCTCAGGGCTCGAAGGTCGTTGATGGGTTGGATGGTTTCCATCTCGTTTCTCGGCATGGGAAGCAGCAGTGTCTCTGCCGTGCCCCAAAACGCTTGTTCAGTAGCCATGGAGAGACGGTGCCAAGACAGGCACCCCGACGCCCGTCCCCAACATCACCACACCGACGTGGCCGCCGCGGCTCACCTGACGCGTCCGACCTTCTCCTCCGATGAGCTGGAGCTGGTGAGGCTTGGCTCATTCGGGGGCTGCTCCTCCTTTATGGGTTCCTTACGGGCTTTGGTCTGGCTTTGTCGTCGGTGCGGCTCAGAGTCACTGAGGGAGAGGACAGACGTGGGGTAGGAAAGATGGTTTAGATGGCTCGACATGGTAGGACATGGTAGGACATTGGTTGGATGTAGCTGGACATGGTTGGATGCAGTTGGACATGGTTGGGCATTGGTTGGATGCGGCTGGGCATTGGTTGGACGCGATTGGGCATTGGTTGGGCATTGGCTGGATGCAGTTGGACATGGTTGGACATTGGCTGGACGCGGTTGGGCATTGGCTGGATGTGGTTGGACATGGTTGGGCATTGGTTGGATGGTTGGGCATTGGTTGGATGCAATTGGACATTGGCTGGACGCAGTTGGACATGGTTGGGCATTGGCTGGGCCGCGGTTGGGAATG